ACTTAGAACAAGCCCTACCACCAACCAAACCGAACAGAAAAATCTGCCCCCACTGGGAATCGAATCCGGGACCTCTGCGTCTGAAGCAGGTGGTCTTACCACTAGACCACAAAGGCGGTTAAAACCTAATAGCGGCCGCCCGCGACTTCGTAGGCGTGGATCCCTTATAGGGGTGGAATTTCGTAAAATCCCTTCTTAGCGGATGTCTACAGTTCTGCCTACACCCTATAAGTAACCTACCTATATTTCAAGTTTGAAGTTTGGTATTTCGCGTTTATTGTATAGATTCAGCATTTTTTTTCCTTACCTAGCACATCTCTGAAAGAAACATCCACACCGTTTCACAGTTTCGCTATACATCCTCCCTCCCACTATCTTCTTAGCTCATCTTTGGTAGAAACACTGCTTAAGGCCTGGTTTCCACCAAGGAGAATTGTTTTGAATAACCAACCAGATTTCATTATTCAGGAAACCAGGAAATTTGATTGGTGATCTGTGAAAACACTTAGTCTTCTCCGCTCCGCTCCGCCTTGGTGGAAAGTGGAAACCAGGCCTAAAGCACTGCTACTATGTGACAATTGTCATAGTTATTGAATCGATAATGTTACTTCTCCTGTTTTGTAAAAAATACTAAAATTGTGTCTACTTAACTGAATTCAGAGCCTTTGTATGACGCTTTTTTAATGCACATATCTTTAATTAATCTGAAATTGCTCAATTCATCATCATCACCATTTCATTTCAGCCATAGGACGTCCACAGTTGAACATAGACCTCCCCTAATGACTTCCATAATGACCGGTTGGCAGCGGCCTACATCCAGCGCCTTCCTGTTACCTTTATGAGGTATCTCATGTATTATGAGCTCGTTGTCGTTTTCGTTTCAGCCAAATGACGTCCACTGCTGGACAAAGGCCTCCCCCAAGGATTTCAACAACGACCGATCCTGCGCCGCTCGCATCCAGGCACCAGATTCACCAGAGCGTCGGTCCACCTAGTGGGAGGCATGCCCACACTGAGGGCTAATTTATGAGGTATGCTCATTTAAAAACTTTTAATTACAATTACCAAAAAATATTTACCGAAGAATACTCATTCGGTAATACGCAGTTTTAATGGCCCAAAGACACTAGCATTCACAATTACGAGTCCGCATTATATGAACATACTAAGCCACATAAAGCCTAGTTACACACATTCACCACATAATCCACAACAATACATAGGGGCTCGCACATAGGGGTCACGGCGCGTACGCGTATTGAATTTATCTATTTGCTTAACCAAATTACAGAGTTGTCTAAAAACAATAGAAAACTTAATTTTTAGAACATTCATCATCATCATCATCTCAGCCATAGGACGTCCACTGCTGAACATAGGCCTCCCCCAATGCTTTCCATGTTATCCGGTTGGTAGCGGCCTGCGTCCAACGCTTTCCTGCTACCTTTATGATGTCATCGGTACACCTTGTGGGTGGACGTCTCACGCTGCGTTTTCCGGTACGCGGCCTCCACTCCAGAACCTTGCTGCCCCATCGGCCGTCAGTTCTGCGTACTATGTGCCCTGCCCATTGCCACTTCAGCTTGCTAATCCGTCGGGCTATGTCAGCGACTTTAGTTCGTTTTACAACATTATAGAAATTACTAATAGTCCCGTAGTTACTGTAAAATGCCTTTGTCCAGCAGTGGACGTCATTTAGCTGAACATCTCGTAGTAAGCTTAATATGTTTGTACTGGGTTCACCACGTCATGAGCAAGCTATGCTCGGTGTTTTTTACGAGATCGAATCAGAAATGAGGAGATCCGCAAACTAAAGTCGCTGACATAACCCGACGGATTAGCAAGCTAAAGTGACAATGGGCAGGGCACAAAGAACACAGAATTGACTGCCAATGGGGCAGCAAGGTTCTGGAGTGGAGGCAAACGCAGCGTGGAGCTAGTAGGCGCTGGATGCAGGCCGCTACCAACCGGGCGATGTAGAAATCATTGGGGGAGGCCTATGTTCAGCAGTGGAAGTTTTATGGCTGAAATAACAAATTACTAATAAATAATCTAATCTAAACTAAAAAAAAAAATAAAAAAAAATATTATGACGGGTTCACCACATAGTCCAGCGGCGGTGGGGTTCAAATACCACGTTACCCATAAAAGATTTTAAACTTTCGAATTCCATTCTATTGAAACTGAGAATATATTCATCCCCATAAGGAGGACTGTGGAGCACAATCTTGCCGTGCCCTTTTTTTGTGGTGGAGGAAATGCTTTGCGCACCGTCTCCATTGCCGGTGGATACGGTGGTGTGTGAGAGTGATGCCCGTTTTCACCAATAATCCCTAATTTTTAAGTGACCCCTATGGTAACACATAACAGGAATTTTGTTTTCATAGGGGTCACTTTAAAATTTGGGATTGTTGGTGAAAACGGTCATGAGACTCCCTGCGCTCCGAAAAGGACGCTGCTTCGTTCCGTGGAAGGGACGGGATACACCCACAAAACCAGCGCGGCGTTCCGTCATCGCCCGAGTGGGGTTGTCGCAAGCATCTAGCCATAGCCTTATACTTCCACGACAAAAATCTGCGGCGCCTTGGACGACGTCGGATCACAGGGGCATCAGTCAAGACCTCTCGCTCTTTCTCAAGCCTACACTACAACCCTAACCAAACTGTAGTTCTCAGCCTTTCTTGTGGCGGAGTTTTGGGCTGACGCTGTGTAGGTTTGTTGTCGACACGACAAGAAGTTCTCAGCCAAGTTTAAGCCCCCAGGATCTTAGATTTCAACTTAATAACTACTAGCAGCAGTTATGGAATCTAAACAGAGAAGAGAATACCAAAGATTTTCTAAAGCTAAGCGTCCACTTGTAGGTATCGTACGCAATGGACGCATCGTACGAAACACATCGTATCGGATGTGCGATGCGTACGATGCGGACAGGTGGACGCACTTATATGAGTTTCCATATAAATAATACTACGATCCGTTGCGTGCGATACGTCCGATGCGTACGATACCGACATGTGGACGCTTAGCTTAAGGGAATAAACCTTTGAACCTTTAAAATTCCAAACACCATCCATAGTACCAAGGGTAATAGGTACCTACAAACTTTATGCAGGAAAACCTAGGAAACCCTGATACCAAAAATATTGTATAGCTATCATATTAGTCAGATGATAAGGAATTCCTATATCAATAAGAATGATAAACAATTTAAATCACTACTCAAGATAAGATACAGGACTTAATTTAAATCGAAAGGCATTTTATCCTCTTAACACATCGATGGACATACGAGAGAACTCCTATAGATATCATAGTTTTGACTCATTTTATATGGACACTACTCCCATAGGCAATGTATGTGAATAAGTAGTGTCATTTGGGAAGTAATTCTTGTCTGTCCATTAAAGTGTTAACTGGATTACTTCCACTCTTACTCCCACTGCTGCGACTCTTGTGTAGCCAGAAAGAGAGGGTAATAGAGCACAGAGCCTCAGTAGCACCACTTTGACTCTCACATTTGGGTTTATATTGGCGGTCAAGCTGTAGATCCGGGCTACACAGGAGTTGCAGCAGTGGGAACGAGAGGTGGGAATAGTCCTTTTTAACTTTCACAGTACTTAAAAAGCCAGTGTTTTTGTAAGGAGTTTGTCAAACTTGATGTTGGTTATGGTCAAAGTAATATGGAGCCCAGGCAGGGTAGCATAAAGTCAAAGAATAGTTGTTGAACATTTTTAATCCTTCAAGAGCCAATAAATATCTAATAGAACTTCGCAATTCAAATCAATCGGAATCAAATTAGAATATTCTCATGTTGAATTTTTTTAGTTCCTTTTAAAAGAAAATGGCTTAGAATATGATAGTATGTTCATTTGTATCTTATTCCAACATACCTTCTATGAATGGTTAAATTTAAAAGCAAATACAAAATGTGTTAATACATCTTATAGTTACAAGATGTAGAAGAGCTAAACACAAGCACTTAAGTGTTTATTTATTTCTCATTACTGAGGACGAAATTATCATTGCGTATAATAGCAAAAAGTGATCTAAAAGACCTTGAAAAATATTTTGTAACATTGCATAGTTACAAAACCTGAACATCACTTTAATGCAAATGTAGTAAATCTTTATCTTTACCGCACACAAAGTACACTCCTTTATTGTATGTTTACTATAAATCAACGATGTTTGGTTTAGTGTTTAGTGAACATTATATCATAGGTTCTGTAAGGCGAAACCAACCAGTATAAACGGTTAATACGACGTAATGAATCCAATAGAACCAATAAAAAACGACTAGAATTGAGTATGAGTAGTTAATTTAGCGCGTAGGAGCATAAGAAGGCTTATAGTTAGAATATAGACAAAGTTATGTATGAAAACATAACCTGAAAAACAGCTGTCAGTGAGACATATTTTTATTGAAAAAAAGAGTAAATAACTTACCTCGAGCTCCTGGTTATGGCATTTGTCTTCAAGCTCCTTCACCAAAGAGCCTGAACTAGCAGTTAGGTCACTACTGCTTTCAGCAGAAGGTTCAGATAGCACTTCAGTAGCAAAATTTGTGATCTGCCCTTTTAGACTGCTCAAACTCTGGTTTAGATTGAGCCACGACATGTTTGTTTGTGTTGAACTGTCTCACATAGCACGTTTATGATATCGCAGAAGGAATAGTATGGTGAAATAGACGTAAACAATACGAAAATTGCATTATTTTTCCAATTGACAAGACTTTGTCCAGTTGGCAAAACAAGTCGCCATATTTGACGTTAATGACGTTTCTCAGAGTAGAAAAAAACACATACTTACGTTTCGTTCGTTCCATTATGAAATGTAATATGCTACTTCGCTTTTTACATTGATTAATTTGTAAATTAGAGAGAATGTATTTTAATTTTCTGCAATTTACATTTTTAGATTGCCTCACTACCCGGACCCGTAGACTGTGAAACTGTGACTGACTGACGGTGACGGACGCTGTCAAACGACGACGACGGCCATTTTTTGTGTTTGACGTTGTTGTCTTGTCAAAAGATTTCGCTCTTTTTTCTAATAATTCTTTTAATTCTATCAGTAATTACAATTGAATTCTCTGTCATTAAATTGTCTAAACTCAAATTAATATTCGAATTCTATACCGAAAGTGTAAATTACTATAACTGCAAACATAACCTAAAAAACAAATGGAGCCAAGTGATTGTGGTTTATTTCTTCCAAACTTAGCTAACCCTATAAAAAATCAGCCGAGAATATTGAATTTTACATGTGATATGCCTAATGCCGACGGAGTCGGTCTTAATAAGAGTAAAAAAGTAAAAAGGGAGTGCTTAACCACAAATAATGCTGTTAAGTTCCTTCTAGAAGGACAGCTAAAAAGGAAGGTCTGCAGGTATTGCCTGAATGTGACGTCCCCTCTATCGGAGCTAGACCAAGTCTTGCAAGTGGGTGGCTCTGGAGTACTATATAAAGTAACAATAAGGAATATGGTTGCTTCTTTTTATCCATATAAGGTAAAATGTTCTTAACTTACTTATTATATCCTCAATTGTGATGCTAACTTTAGTGACTGAATTTGCCCCATATTATGTCTGCTAGTATAATTGACACCTAATTTGGTATTAATTTCATTCTGTATAATTTCCAGGTGACAGATGACCCCAATTTCCCTAACAAAATCTGCAACAAATGTCTGAACCAAACAATCAGGTCATATTTGTTTACACAGCAGTGTGAACGCTCTGAAAGGGCATTACGAAATTGCTTAGAAGATATGTATAATAAATTCGAGAAGCTAGACCCTTTGGAACCTCAGAAAAAAAGAGGCAGACAGAAATTAATCCCGAATCATAACGTCCTGTACGCCGAACATGAAAAAGTTATAGATTACGCTGAACCGCTTATCAATATTGTGAACAGCGGTGCAGAATTGACGGAACAAGTTATTGATAGTAAATTTGAGTGCCCAAAGTGTTGGCAAATACTACCAAATTTAGAGTCGTTGCTCAACCATGAGAAACAGCATCCAAAGTCCATGTGGTACAGTTGTCGGCATTGCGGCAAGTCTTTTACCAGCCGTAACCATTTGAAGAAACATGTACGTACAACACATGAAGTGGCAAAACCGGCTTTACCTTTACCAAAGACTGATTTTAAGTGCGCTGAATGCGGAGTTGTAAGTGAGAAGTATAACGAACATTTGCAACATATTGAGAAGCATAAATTCCAGAATGTCTTGGAGCGTTTGATTGAAAAAAATATGGATGAATTGTGTGCAGTTTGTTTGGACGTAAACCCAAAGTTGGTAGACTTGGAAGAGATGGTCTGCCTTCACGGAGGATTCCCAGAGATGATGGGGGAACGGACCCTGTACAGTATCATTGGTTCTACAGTGCCTGATGTAAGTATAAACTATTTTTTGTATATTATTTTAGTTCTAATCAAATTGGTAAAAAAATCTTAAAATATTTTTAATAAATTAAAACGTACCTCTCTTCATGTTGCTATCAAAGCTTACAGAGATAAACTTTTTGATATCATAAAGAGTTATTTAAAAATAGTGCTATAGTGCTAGTTTTTTTACACAAGGAAAAAATGAAACACAAAAATACATCTCTGTACATACACATCTCTGTAAATAGCAGTCAAAAATCAAGTTGTTTGTGCAAATTGACCTTGTTGAAGAAGTTTGTAGCAATTTTTACTCATGTCTGACTTTTTCTTACTAATCCTTTTCTAGAAATCATCATACAAATATCAAGAGCTGCTTGTGCCTAAACAAGCCAAGATTGTAACCATTTTGAAAGTTAATAAAGACAAACACAACTTTGTCATATCAGCTCCTATTGTTATCTCTAAAGATGACATAGATTTTGATGATTTGTACATGTTTGAATTTAGTTCACCCATTAATTTAGACAAAAACATGATTATTACTCCTGAAAATAAGCTTGAAGTCAGTGACAATACTCAAAATAATGATTTCAATGAGTGTAATAATCCTAAAGATACTGCCACTGTTACTGATCCAGGAAAAACATCTGATAAAAACAATATTGGTGATGCTAGCAATGAAAATAACTCTATTATGCCACCAGCATACAATAAAAGTAACAGTGCCAAAGAAATTGCTGAAAATATCTACTCTTTCTCAAAACCTGAGTACATTCATGATTTAATCAGTACTGAAACTAAATTTGACTCTGATGATCTGGTGAAAGTAACTGAAATGGAAGTAATTCTTGATTCAACCTGTAATAAAGCAATTAATGAAAAACCATGCAATGTTTGCTGGATATTTAAGAATACTATTTGTGAGAAATGTTCAAAAGTAAACAATATTATTGAGAATGCAAAACCTCTTGGCATGAAGGAAGATGAAGTCATTGTTAGCAAAAAACCTTGTCAGTTTTGCTGGGTATTCAAAAACTGCCCTAGATGCGATTATTGCAAGAACATTTTAAAAGAATCTCTTGAATTAACTTCTGGTGATGTCATTAACAAAATAAATGAAGAATTAGAAGTAAATGAAGAAAAAGCTCATCCTAAGAAAAGAAAGCTCCCTGATGACTTAAAACCAACTGCTAAACGAGCCAAATGGCAGTGCCAGTTTTGTTTATCATCCAATATAGATACAAACTCATGTCTGTGCTGTGATGCTCAGAGATATTTATATGAAGATAATTCGAAAATCAAGTTTAATTTCAATAAAGATTTCTTCAAGAAATTGAATGAAAACAATGACAGCTTTGCTATTAAAGCTAAAAATACTGATATCATTCAAGAAACTATTGATTTGATTGATGCAAATGAAGATATCCCAAAAAAAGTTGAAAATTTAATTAATAATGATAGTAAAAAAATGGAAAACGTCATTTCAACCACTGAAAACAATGTTGTAACCATTGATAATGAAGTAGAAATGGAAGCCTCACCTTCCACTGAATATGAAAAAGTTGTGGAAAGTGAAGATATGGAAATAGCAGAGGAAAATGATAATATCTCCAATGTATCCATAATAAATCAACCAGTTGTTTTCCCTATAATGTGTGATTGGATGCCAAATGAAATGGCCACTGAAAAACCAATTTCAACATTCCAATTTAATATTGGAGCTACCACAGCAGATGATAGGAAATGTGCTAGAAGATATAAAAGACCTTTGAAAAGATCTGCTCCATCTTTTCATAAATAATTTATAACATTTACAATTGATTGATTCTTGAATACTGGAAGATGCATCAATTACGAAAATATATCAAATTATATTGTGTTTAGTAGCTTGCTATTGCTATACTCAATACACATGTGCTGTGCTATATTTATCTTTAGATCTACTCTTAAATTATTTCCCAATGTTAGATCATAAGGGTGCATACTTAACATAGTAGTAGTTAGTGTTACATTTAACCTACTTATTTTAGTATGTTTATGTATTATATTCATAAGAACCTTGCTTATTTATCTTTTGTTTACAATAGTTTAATCTTTTGTTGCAGATGAATAACCTACATAACTTCCCAGGGAAAAAAATATGCGAAAACTGCCTTAACCACGCTATTACCTCGTATGTCTTTATCCACCAAACTCTGTATGTTAGAGATAGGTTTGACACTTGCCTAAGTTTAATGTTAGATAGCCTTAACCAGTTGGTAAAACCAGAAGCTAATGTGTTTATAGAAATTTCCCAAAACACTATAATGCCCTTGGTCGAACCAGATTTCGATGAGAATTTACTTCTAGAAGAACATGAGATTGATGAATCAAAACTCAAAATAGAAGTGTTAGAAGATGAATTCAGGCAGGACTCTGATAGTGAATCCAGTGCCTCAGATATGGATAGTAAAGATGACTTGAAACAAGAGACTGTTGATTTTATAGAACCAAATGTGTTACAAAATCTTGCCAGGAAGGCAGAAAAAACATACGAAAATAGAAAACTAATTAACGGTGTAAGTGAACGTAAATACAATTCATATGATGATGTTTGCAGTGAATTTCTAACATTCAAAAAGAGAAAAAAGCCTGTAAGGCGACACCACAGATGCAAATACACTTGCCCTAAATGTAATAAACACTTCATATCCGAATACTTTTTGAAAAGGCACATACTAAAACATGTCTTCAGAAAGGTTGAATGCACAAAATGTAATCTCCAATTCAAATCCAAGTTCTACCTTTACGAACACACGAAAATGTGTCATATTCTCAATCAATATGACTTCTTTTCTTGTAGCACTTGTGGCAGGGCGTTTGAGAGTAGCAACAATCTGGATCAACATTTGAAATGTCACAAAGCAAAAGAATGCCAGCTCTGTGGGAAGGAGTTTTTGACACAAGAATATTACGATTCCCACATGCAACGTCACGCTGGCAAGTTGCAAGTTCTGCCTAAATCGGTCCAAACGTGCAGTTTCTGCGAAAAAGAATGCGCAAACGACAATGGACTCTCGGTCCATGTAAACAAAATCCATTTGCAAATAAAGCCGTACAGTTGTGATATGTGCGAAAAGCAATTCTACACTGAATTCAATTTGAACTGCCACAAAAAAGTTCATAATTTACTGGCCAAGGAAAAATGTATCTTTTGCAATAAAACCTTAAAGTGCAGAAGGGATTTGGTGGTACATATAAGGAAGCATATTGGGGTCCAGCCGTATACTTGCCCAGTGTGTGGGCAGACTTTCTATTCAAGTAATAAGGTAGAAAAACATATGAAGACCACACATGGGGGCAAATTCTGTTGCAAACTCTGCAAAACAATTTTTCCAACCAAATTTTCACTTAAGGACCATATAAACAGGGTTCATAATATGATTTGATTTTAATATATCCTTCTTCGGGTAAACAACCAGTGGTTAACGTATTTTTCAGTGTTTACCGCTTTTTATGTTTTTCTTTCATATCAGTATCGATATTTTTTAGATATTCTGTTGTATTCGCAATAAAACTAGCTCACTGACTTTTAATGTAATAATTTTCTTTTCTCTTGGAATACCTAACCAGTAAAGTTTATTATTGAACCAGTTGATAAAAACGTGCATAAATGAATTATGTTACCTGGCTATTGATTTTTTATGTAAGAAATATTGTAGACATTTAAATATACCCACTATTTATGTTTATATGAAGTTTCATTTCATCTTCTAGATATGGAGTTACATCACAGATATGGAGTTGAACATCCTTGATTCGTCCAAGGGTTTCCGTAATTGTACTCACCAGTTGGCGCCACTGTCTTAGCCACAAGCAAAGGACTCACCCAAGCAAGATCTCTTGATTGTTTGAATGAATTACTAAAACGATACAGCAACTCAAGCAAGCATTTCTGAAGATTTTTAATATTTATCTCATCGCACATTGACATTATAAGACCTTCAATCGAAATTGTTTTTGGTTAACAGCGCCAACTTAAAACCGCTCTAAAAAGTGAAAAAAAAAAAATCCTGGGGACAGTCGTGTTAGCAATATGCTATAGGTGATGTTAGTAGAGAAAAACGTAAGAGGAATTAAATACCAGAATACGAAAGATTGCGGTAGGCGATGGCGCCGTCTAGTGGTATGAAACTTAATCAGAGATCAGTCATGTGTGCCTACCATGAGTTTACGTTAGGTGTGCTCGCTAGCGATTGCGTAAAAAAATGACATTTAAATGTATGACATATTGTGCAGCGCCCCTAGTGGCTACTTTCAAGAAATAAGATCTTCATATAATTTTTTGACGTATTCGCTAGCGAGCTCACCTAACGTAAACTCATGGTAGGCACACTGACCTGTCTGATCAAACCGTCTCGACCAGAAGGGCGTGCAATCCTCATTACGCATTGGTTCCCGCTGAAAACCAGCTTCTCGGCATGACGTTTGTGTCATGTCGCGATTTTAGCTGAGCGGGCGCCTATTCAGCATTATGTTATTTATTTTTTATGTTTACGCTTGCTTGTATATTGTGCTGAATATCAGTGTAATGAGGGCTACCGTATTTGATACCCGCCCCGGGACGTATCATTGCAATGAGGGCTATCGTTTTAACGTTCACCAGTTAGCGCCACTGTAGAGTAAGGTCCTGTCACTTGCTAGTAGCGAAGACAGTGGCACCAACTGGTGAGCACAAAAGTGGTAGGAGGCCTATCGCATTTGCACTCATCAAGATGGCGCCACTGTAGAGTAAGGTCCTGTCAATCGCCAGGGGTGCCAACTGTTAAGTATAAAAACGATAGCCCTCATTATTGCATTCACTGTTCATATAGGTAGCGCCACTGTAGACTGCTGTCACTCGTCAGTGACGTCAGTGACGCTAAACTGTGGGCTGAGCATGGGCTGAGTGAGTGTGAGTTTACATCAAAAGTGTGACATCACGAGTGAGCGAGTTTAAAAAATGTATGAAAATTTTAGTTTTTGAACGTTTCCCGCTAGGGGCGCTGTACAATCCGTCATACATTAAATGTAATTTTTTGATGTAAACTCGCACTAGGCCCTCTGTTAAAGGAAAGAAAATACAGTAGGTACGCAGCAGGCAAAACTTGTCCTGAAATATAAAAGGCTGTTAATAACAAATTACTAAAACAATACTGGTTCACTGAAAATGGACGAACTTAGCACAGATGAGACAGGGAGTACCCTCATCATAGCACGAGCATTTATATCAGGTTTCCTTTAAGTTACTTTTTTCTGTGTGAGATATCAGGATTCTCGATTAAATCAAAATCAAATCAAATCAAAATCAAAAATATTTATTCAGTTTAGACCACAAGTGGCACTTATGAACGTNAAATAATTTATAAATAAAGACAATAGGTATCAAAGAAAATTAACAAAAATCAAGGATAGATAAACCACATCCATATTATTATACTGCGGCAGGTTATGCAGAAAATCGAAGAGTATAACTTGCCACTATGCTTGGAGTTTGTGGACTATGAGAAGGCCTTCTATTTGATCGAGATTTGGGCAGTGCTGCAATCTCTCCCTGCACCGCGGCCGTATCGACTCTCGTTACATCGAGGTACTGAAGTACTTCTACATGAACGCACAAATCTGGCCCGAATACAGAAGCAGAGCATGAGCGTGATTCCACTACAGCGCGGCGTAAGGCTGGGAGATTTTATACCTTTTTCCAAAACTGTTTACCTGTCCAACTCCTGGAATGAAAGGACTCGGCATAAATATCAACGACGAGTACAACACTCACCTTAGATATGCCGACGATNCACTTACCTTATTTTTTCAATTTCTTCAGAAGTCTAGTTACTAAACCCGTTAAATAACAATAAACATAACCTTTTATGACAGGAAAATTGTTCACGTTCTTCGTAATAACACGATTATGAACACTCGATCTGTTCGAATAACTACGTGAACTCGCAAACCATGTTTCCATTGTTTATAAATGGCCATTTCTTGCCTTTATTTTGGCATATATAGGGTGGCAAAGAAAGATGATAATTTTTATTGTGAAAACTTAATGCAGAATGCACCTTAATAACCTTTTCAGGTTTTAATTTGTTTCGAAAACATAAAAAGTATATTAGTTAGTATGTATGTATTATAACCTCCGTTCTTCAGTAGTCAGTTCAATATTTTCCTCAGTTCAATGATAGCTTTTATTAATATCAAATAAGCATATTTTTGCGAGATTTTCAGTACTTGGCCTATATTTTCCTCATTTTAATGATAACTTATATCCTTTCCTTTTTTTGCATTTAATAAGAAAATATTAGCTTGCATTAAAATCATTATTGTATTCACCCTGTATTACTTTGGAAGGCAAAAGGGTCGGGTGATTGATTGCTTGTCTCTACCAAACAAACGTTTATAGAAACAAATTCCAAACTACAATGGAATGCATACTTTCTTATTATGGACTGATATTTTTCTGAGACGCGATATTATTCCGGCAAAACACGATTATATTCGGTCATAAGTAACTGTTGTTTTGATGCCTCGTTTCGTGTTGCTTTCATAAGTTTCTTAGACACGGTTCAAACAAAAACAATACGTCATTGTTCAGGAACATCTTAGTTACATTAGGATCTCAGGAGATAAAAGCTTATTTTATTGTAGCAATTGTTTGTTAAATAAAACTTCCTAATGTAAATACATATTTATTTTCCGACTTGCTCAAAATAATTGCGAATAAACAGGTCAATATCCAAATTAATGATTAAGCCAGGAAGGTTAAAGGAAGCAAAAACTTCTGAAGGGGGTAAAGAAAACTCAATTGTGGGCTTAAAATAACTTCTCGAGTAAAGTAAATTTATTAAACAATATTATACGGGTAGTATGCTAAACTCTTCACTCGAGTGATCACGATCGGGGGAGAGGCTAAGTTTAAAATATACTTGTAATATAAAAATATTATCATAGAGTTAAATCACTAGATCTTCTGTAGCAGCGATTGTAACTTATGAGATTACAAAACTTTAGCGCTTATGATTTATGATTTATGAGTCTGCTTAGGTTTTAGACGTAGCTAATTTGGATATAAAGGCTATTA